GTTACTAATGATGACTTTGTTTGATTGTGATAAAATGGACAATATTTATGGCTACTAGATTTGTAAAAAAATGTTTTCTGACAATTGGACTGGCACTCAATATGGCATATTTACAGGAAAAAAAATAAGTAATTTTACATCAAACACTAAGCTAGGGACCCCCCCCAAAAAAAAAATTATGATACTTGCCAATATAATTTAAGGCTAGCCTCCTTCGCAGTCTTGTTGGGCGTTGGCGTTATTTCTTTCTGTGAGCGATGCGAGTAATATGCGGCCGAGAGGGACGATATATGCTGCTGAAGGAGTTTTTGCCGCGGAGAGAAGGATTCGCGCTCCAGCTTAAGGCATATGCATTTGCCCAATCCATACTTTTACTTGCCCTGGGCAAGTGGACTTGTCCAACCCTGGATCTGACTCACAAGTCCTGTGTCGTGTATTAATGTGTACATCAATGTTGTGACTCTAACACACAGACTAGGCTGCAGCTAGCACAGTGGAGTCTTCTTGTAGTATAGTTGATTGTCAATGTTTTACATGTACTCTTTTATAATGTGTGTGACCAAAATGCAATTGTTCTGACTGTCGTTCAGATAGAAGTGCTATTTATGCTAGAAGTATAATTGTATGGTGTACATGTAAAATATTACAGATGGTTGGAAAAACTACTCGATTTTTTATTGAATTAAGAGGAAAATTTTTCTTTGAAATCTTCTCAGAAATGCAGGAAATGTCATTTCAGAATGTTCAATTTTTTTTTTTAATTTTCCACCCTCTTTGCTTGCTACTCCCTCACATACATGTTAGAACCCCCCCCCCCAGCAGAATCCTGGCTACGGGCATGACATATACATGTTGTATTGAATGAATTATAGAAATGAAATTATATGACTGTGGAGATTGAAATTTATGTAAAGCTAGATATAAAGAGAATGAAATTATATGGAGAGAATAAAATCATTATGATTGTATAGGAAGAAAGGCTATGCATATAATTGTGACTGTGAGAGAAAGGTTACTTAGCTGGAGAGACTATAGATGAAACAAAGTGAAATCTGTATCTGTATAGTTGGTATAACTGTCCTTTGGTGTAACAAACCAGCTTCGCAAGCATGTAGCCTAAGTGGCAGCTGCCCATGTTATTATACAATGAACAACCCTGTTACAACTAAGGCTGCACCAATTTAATTTGTTGCTTCTTGGATCGCCCTGTCCATTTTTTTCTGATTTGAAAAAAAAATCGTTTTAAATTAACTTTTATAATCATTATGGGGGTTTTATTTGAAACACTTCACAGCCCAAAGGCTGAATTACATGTCCCGTACATTGTATAAAAACAACTTGTAACAAAAAGCCCAACAGTTGAAAAAAAAGTCCCTTTCTTCCTAGTTCTTAAAGTTTTTCGTATCAATGCAATTTTGTTTCATTGAAAGTTCAAAATCTATTGTGTTAATTATAAACCAGCCTGGTATGTTCACTCCATGGCTCATATTGTAACATTTCTGGCTATCATGGGGTGCCTTTGTTTTTTTTTCGTGCTGTCGCTTCATATTTTTTCTGAAAAAATTAGAGAAACAACAAATTAAATTGGTGTGGCCTAACATCTAAACGCTGTTTAAAGCTATGAGTTCCACTATATGATAGTTCTATAGGAAAAAACAAGTGTTTGAACACCTCAATCGTTGATAACTCTGAATCCTGAATTCATGACTATTTCTTATCCTTTTTGGAGCTGGTATTAGGTACTTAGGCCACACCAATTTAATTTTGTTGGTTCTCGGATTTTTTCAGGAAAAATATGAAGCGACAGCACGAAAAAAAATAAAAATAAAAACAGATCTAGGCATCCTATTATAGCCCCAAATGCTACGATAGGAGGTATGAAGTCAACACAAAAGGCTGGTTCAAAATTTAAACAATGAATTTTGAACTTCTAATGATACCACTGCATTGAAAGATGGAATAACTGTAACAACTAGGAAGAAAAGGACTGTTCTAAACTGTTCAGGACAAAATATGAGCATTTTGCATTTGATTCTGAATTTTTTTTTTTTTTTTTGCAAATCAGGAAAAAATGAAGAGGCGAATCCGAGAACCAACAAATTAAATTGGTGTGGCCTTAGTAGCTGGTAAATCCACCAGTGTATTATTCATATTGTACATCATGTATAGTTTGGACATTCTTTTATAACATCTATTGTAGTCACAGTTTTTTCTGGGCAACGTTACAAACTAAAATGCAATCCATGACAAGACTTATTACAAGTTCTGTCAGTTTTTGAGAATACTTTTCTTCCAAACAAAATAAGCTGGCAATTTAAAAAAGATTAATAATTCATTAATTCATTGCCATGTGACAAATTGTAATGATTGTTACATTTGAACGAAGGCATTTGGTTTTTTAAAAATATTATCCATTGCCTGACCTTCCTTATTGTATACAATGTAGGTTGTTCACACACTCAGAATATCCACGTTACCTCAGTATATTGTACAGAAAGAAATGTTGATATTGTTGGTTTATACACTGTGGAGGAGCTGTATATGCTTGAATGTTTTATGGAATACTTTTGAGGAGATACGTATTTATCAATTTTTTTATCATACTTGTGGGGAAAGTTCTCTTACACATTCAAGGCAAGAAGAAATATTACCTTTACAATCATGTTTTAGTTGTACATAAATAAACAATATTTTTGTGTGGATCAAAGATTGTGACCTGTGGGGTCGTGTGGCGTAGCGGCAGCATTCTCGACTCGGAACCAGAGGCCCCGGGTTCGAGTCCTGACATGCCACCGATCTTGTGCCCTTAGGGAAAGGCACTTTACACGACTTTCCTCACTTCACTCAGCTAGGTGTAAATGAGTATTGTACTGTCCCTGTGTTGGTGGCGGCATTAATATAAGGCCATGTTGATTTGATTATATGGATGACATCCGCGCGCGCATGAATTTTCGGCCGTTTCCAAAAAAAAAAAGTTTTCAACCATACTGTAAATCGTACAAAACAGTTGCAAAATAAGCAAAAAAAAATACCATAAGTTACAAAAAAAAATTAATAAAAACTATACCAATGTCGTAGAATGCCAAAATCAAACGAAAAAAGACGAAATTGTAAAGAAATGAACTTGAAGACTAGATTATTCGCCAAACCATATTCTGTGCCATTTGCTCAACCCTCATGACCACGTAGATTTCATAACGAAAACAACTTTTTTTTTTGCAAAACTTTTTTTTTATTCGCACGCGCGCATCAGTTTTGGGGCTCCCGGAGGATGTCATCCATATAATCAAATCAACATGGCCTAAGTTGAAAAAACATGAGTGTGCCGTCACCACGTCTTGTGATTACATGTTTCGGAATATATAAAAAAAATAGATTGTGACTTATCTTAGTTGCAACACATGCAGTTGGTGTTGATGTTACAATGTGTATGTGATCTATAGTGACATGTTTTCACACCAGCAAGAACAACCTTAAGAAGTGTAATGTTACACAGCATCACTAGGTGGCTCTTCTAGTGTAACCCACATAGGACTGAAAAAAAAACATGCACAGGTGTAGATGTGAGCTGCTCGTGGAAAGATAAAACTAGACACAATGTTACCCAAATGTAAGATATGTTATGTAAGGCCATGTTGTTTTGATTATATGGATGACATCCGTGCACACATAAATTTTCGTCTGTTTTCCAGAAAAAGTATTTGACCATACTGTAAATCATACAAAGCAGCTGCAAAATCAGCAAATATATGCCATTAATTTGGAAAACGATACATCGCAGAATGCCAAAATTAATTCCAAAGGAAAGAAAATGTGAAGAATTGAAAATGAACAGTCTATTATTTGCCATACCATACTGTGTGTTTAATAATTTGTTCTTCAACCTTCATATATAGATTTCACATCGAAGACAACTTTTATTTTTGCCAAACTTTTTTTTTGTCATCCATATAATAAAATTGACATGACCTATATATATGTGTGACTTAAAGTACGGCTAATCCAGAAAGATTGTTACAAGTTTGTGGAACCTGTACAACCAGAGATATCTGATTATATCAAGGCAATATGAAGAGGATATAGAATATGTTTGCCTTAAGTTTGATCATCACCCTAAGTTGTATTTTCAAAGAAAAGTAACAGAATGAAGCATTCAATGCATTTGTTAAGGATAAAGACTGTATCTATAAGGAAGGATTTTTATGAACCCACCTTAAAAGGGCCACACCAATTTAATTTCTTGGTTAACGGATTCGCCCTCTTCATTTTTTCCCGATTTGCAAAAAAAAATAAAAATCAGAATCAACTGCTAAATGCTCATGTTTTGCCCTGAACAGTTGAAAACAGTCCTTTTCTTCCTAGTTGTTACAGTTATTCCATCCTTCAATGCAGTGGTATCATTAAAAGTTCAAAATTCATTGTTTAAATTTTGAACCAGCCTGGTGTGTTGACTTCATGGCTCCTATCGTACCATTTTGGGCCATAATAGGATGCCTAGGCCTGTTTTTATTTTTACTTTTTTTTCGCCCGCCCGCTCCATTATTTTTCTAGAAAAATCCGTTAACCAAGAAATCAAATTGGTGTGGCCTAGAGGCACACTGTAAGGATGACTGTATACAATACTTTTGTTCCAGAACGACAAAGGAAGTTAACTCAAATATTTCTTTTATCAGTGTTGTGTGAGTGCAAAATTATACACAAATGGATGACTATGTCTACTCAGATCTGACGAATAAATGGAAATAAATACCACAGCTAGGTTAGTGACGATGTTTTTTCTTCACAACTATTAGTTGCAAAGAAATTCACAAGCTAAGGACACATACACCTAGATGCCCGACTTTA